CGACGCGCGCGAGCGGTGCCCAAGTGCGCGCGCGGCCGCTGATGCTGCGAACGCGCGAGGGGTGCGGAAGCGCCGCGCGCGGCTGATGCCTCTGGGGCCTTTGATGGAGCCCAGGGAGTGCAAGTGCCGCACGGCCGCTGCTACCGCGGCCTCGACGGAGTCGCCTGTGGGGCCACGAAGCGCGCGATGGGGTGTGCAAAGAGGGCGCGCAGCCTCTGCCACTGCGGCTTTCGGTTGGGCAAATCCTTGAGGGGCCTGCGAGCACCGCGCGCGGCCGCTGCCGTTGGGGGCTTCGGCGGGCCCCCCATCAGGGGCGACGGCTGAACCCCCCCCCCAGGGCCGCGGCATTTTTTTCGCAGGGCCATTGCCCTTGAGGCGCCGCCCCGCGTCGGCGAAACTTTCTTGGGTGCATTGCCGCGGGGGGTGGCGCGGCGCAGACGTCATCTGCTGAGCCGCGCGGCCGCGCCCCTCGCCTGGCGCTGCGCCCCCGCCCGCGCCCCCGCCTGCCGTGCGCCGGGAGGCGGCCGGTCTCTCGCCCCAAGGGCGCACGAGGCACGTGGGGGGGGGCGGGGCCCCGAGGGGCAACCGCATTCCATCGCGGGCCTCCCGGGGGCGTCGCGCTATTCCACCTCTCCCCCGCCGGCTGTCCCAGGGAACAAGTCATTTCGCGTTTATTTTTCTGGCATTTTCACCGATCGGGGCTGGCTTATTTCTCGCGCATTTACCATGCACTTTTCGTGAAAAGTAGGCGCCTCCCCGGCCGCCTTTTTTAACGCATGTTTCGCCCATTTGGCGCAAACAAGATGCAAACAATAAGCGAAGCACGTGCGACAAATGCGCGCGCGGAGTCGGTGGGCGTCTCACCTATTTCGGCCGCTTAATTTTATGTTTGTTTCAAATGGGTGCGCCGAATTTCCCTGGGGATTGCGACAGCGGGGCCAATTTTGTTTTTGTATTTTTTGCACATTTCGATTGGGGCACCTCGAACGCACCCGAACAAATCGCGGCCGCCCAGGGGCCGCGCTGATCGAGGCCCCGTGGCGATTGTGCCTGCGTCTGGTGCGGAGCCAGGGGGGTGTCTTTCGCTGCCCTGGGTCGCAGTGATCATCTAGCAGCAATTTTGGGGGCTCTCGGATTTGCTGCCCGAGGCGCCGGCGCAATCGGCGCGGGCTGGGCTGGATGCGAGCGGCGCCGTGGATTGGGGTCGCCGCGGGGGGTCGCGGCGCAGACGGCCAGTGGGTACATGGGGGTTAAATTTGAAAGGGCGGCGGGCAGGATGAAGAGCGCGCGAGGGGGAAGGGGGGGGCGCGATCGGAGGGGGAGGGGGGGTTTGGGAGGGAGGGGGGTGGGGGGGAGGGGCGGGGGGCAGGGAGGTCCGCGTCGTCGGCGGCAGTCAGGGGGGCGTTCTTGCTGGCTTACTCGCAAGTCGCAGCGGCGGCAGCCGCGCGGGCGGCGGCGGCGTGCTCTTGACGTCGTCGGTGCGCGGGGGCACGCGGGACGTTTTGCCATCGGCATTCGCGCGATGATGGTGTAGTAGCCATATGAGAGTTTGGATCGCAGGAGTGTCGGGTGGCCCGTGGTCCTTTGCAGTGGCGAGTCGGCCTGTAGCTTCGCGCGGCCCGGACCCGCCTCAATTGATTGTTTCACCTCATCACCCTGTCCCCCTCGCCCCGAGGGCCCGTCCTCAGCGGCCCCATCGAGGCCGTTCTGGCCGCCGCCCCCGTGCAAGTTCTAGTCGCCCCCCCTTCCGTCCTCTGCGCCCCCTCTTCGCCTCGCGTTATTCTCCAAGCGATGTCGCGCGCCTGCCCCATCTCCTTCTCCTCGCGCGCGGGTTTCATCGGCCCCGTCGTCGTTTTCCCGTCGCCGTCGTTCCTGTCAGTGGCTGCGCTGCTGCTTCTGCCCCGTTTGTCCGCCTTCCGCCGTGTCGCCGCCGCCGCTGCCGTCGCAGATGCGGCGTCGGAGACGTGCAGATTCGGCGGGGTTGCGTCGTCGACTCGCATGCGAGGCGTTCGAATTGTCCTGGGTGGATTGCCCCTTGGCGAGCGCGCGCAGCGGCGTTTCGCGTGTGCCGCGTGCCACTGCGCTAATCCAGCGAACGGTTTCCGCGTCATTACGCTGCGGAGACATATTTTTCATTTATTTCGCATCTTTTGTAATCTGGCATTTTTCTTGCATTTTTCTTGCAATTTTAGGTTTTCCTGGATCCCCAGGCCGTCCATGAGTGGCTGCCTTACAAGGTATGAGGGCGCCGTTCTTTCCTTTCGCTCCAGGGCCCGCTTCGCCCCCCCCCCCCCCCCCGTCCCACTGGGCGCCGGCGGGGGCATCGGGGCACTGGGGCAAAGGGGGTCGGCCCGGCTCTCTGCGTTCAGCCCCCTCCCCAGCCTTCAGAGAGAGGCGGGTTCATCGCTGGGCGGCAGGCCCCGCCCCCTCTGCCTTGGCCCCCCTTGGATCGGGGAGTGGCTTCTTTTGGATCGGGGAGCAACTGTTGACATGCCAATGAGCTGTCGGAGGTCCGCGCAAATTTCTCGGGTCGGCGCTGGAGCCCCCCCTTGGCGGCGCCTCTGGCGCCGCCTTTGGCGCGTTCTGGGCGCAGCGCCGATCCGAGAAATCAGCGCGGACCGCCGAGCGTTGGCGTCTATGGTTTTTCTTGCTCCACGAGTAGAGTCCGCGTCTTCCTCCGCTCTCTGCGCCTCCATTCGTTCCTGGCGCGCCCCGCCCGTAGCCCGACTGGCGCCTGCACCTGCCTCGACTCGCTTGCGCCCGCTGGCTTAAACAATCCCCCGATTAAGACCCTCTTCCTCCTGCTCCTCCTCCCCCTCGTCCTCCTCCTCCTCCTCGTCCTCCTCGACCTCCTCGACCTCCTCGTCCTCCTCGTCCTCCTCCTCCTCCTCCTCCTCCTCCTCCTCCTCCTCCTGCTGCTGCTCCTCCTCCTCCTCCTCCTCCTCCTACTTTTCCTCCTCCTCCTCCTCCGCTTCCTCTCCTCCTCCTCCTCCCCCTCCTCCTCCTCCTCCTCCTCCTCTCCTGCTCCTCCTCCCCCTTTTTGTCCTCCTGCTGCTCCTCCTCGACCCTCCTCCTCCTCCTCCTCCTGTTGCTGCTCCTCCTCCTCTTTCCTTCCCTCCTTCCTGTTCCCCCTTCTCCCTCCTCCTCCTCCTCCTCCTCCTCCTCTCCTCCTCCTCCTCTCCTCCTCCTCCTCCTCATGCTCCTCCTCCTCCTCCGCCTCCTCCTCCTCCTCCTCCTCCTCCGCCTGCTCCTCCTCCTCCTTGTCCTCCTCCTCCTCCTCCTCTTCCCTCCCCCCTTCCGGCGTGGCCTTCCGATCGGGTCGCCTTGGAGCAGGCGGGTCCTGAGGGCCCCGGGCCCCCCCGAGGCTTGCAGGGCTCCTTTGGGCCCTCGGGTTCTCCCCGCGCCCTGGGGGCCATTCGGAAACAGTCTGGGAGGAACAGCGAAACAGTCTGGGAGGAACAGCGGATCCCAGGGTCTAGGAGCCGTTTCGCGGCGGCGCGCCTGGGCGCTGCAACTTTTTCGCAACGAGCGTTTTCCTTCGGTTTGGGCCCTCGGGGCCCTCGCAGATCGACCCGGGTCGAAGAATGGCGCAGAAAGATTGGGTCCGGGGCTCAGGGCGTGATTCTGTGCGATGTTTTTTTTTCAGCGTCGGATCTCAGGGTTCTCTGAAGGCTCGGACGACCTCTGTCACTCTGAAGAGTCTTCTGAACCTTGCAACGGGGGTTGACGCAAACGGCGGGGTCAGCCAGAGCGCTAGCCCTTGCAGGATTCTGCAGGGCCAGGGGTGCATGGGCCCAGGCCTGCGCGCCGGATCTTGCAGGATCCTGCAGGAAATCTGAGTGGCCCGGGTCTGCATTGACCCGGTTCTGTAGATCCCCGACGGGGTCCGGGAAGCGTGTCTCGACGGCAGGCCCAGGGTGGCAGTCGGAGGGGGCAGGCCTTCTCTGCAGGCTCGGACGGCCTCCAGCCTTCTGCTTAGTCTTCGAGGCCTCCTCCGAAAACGTAGGCGGCTCCTCGGGAGGCCGGACGGCTCCTGAGAGGCCCCGGCTGACCCCTCCTGGCTTCCCCCCGGGCGCGCCGCCGAGTTTCCCGCAGGACCCGCTTCTCTGGACGCCCGAAGTGGGTACGGAAAGAATGGATACAATGCCCAACAGCAGTTCCTGTTCATTTTGAACAGGATTCGCTGTCCACGCCGCCGCGGCCTGTGTCCATTGGAGACAGAAGGCCGTCTGCCCAACGGCGGCCGCTGTTGGTTTGGGACAACATTTGTTGTTGGACATTGTACCCATTATTTCCGTACCCATTCCGGGCGTCCAAAGCTTCTCAGGGGCAACGGCAGGGGGTACAGGCACAGGGGGGGGTCGCTTGGACCCCCAAATCGCACAGCGATCGCCGAGAGGGCCCTGGTAGCTCCAGCCTGCCCAGGCATGCGCGGGTTCACTATCTCGGAGGTCTATCGCCGGTCTATCGGCGATGGGGTCGCCGATCCCAGGTCGATGCTTCCACCCCTCTGCCTATCCTCCCCTATCGTTGCCCCTCAGCTGCCTTCCCTGTGGTATGGCCGGGCGACAGGATTCGGACGAGGACAGCGATGTAGATCCACTTCGCTCCTCGGGGGGGGGGGGGGGTAGGGGGGACAGACGGAGTGGGATGGGGAGGAGCTGGAGGGCCAAGCCTGCCTGCTTCAGAAGACCACTGTCTGGGGCCGACGCCAAATACCGCTCTCACGTCCCAGGCAAAAGCGTCTATGGACGCATTGGGTGCCGTGTGACGTCCGTCGACGCTTTCGGGGTGGATGCGTCTGTGGACAGCGCGGCATTTGCGTTCGGCGCGGTGCAAAAGGTCGGAGAAATGGCAGGCCCGTCCGCGGTCTGCTCGTCTGTTCCTGCTCCAGTGCAGGCCCCACACGGGGCACCCCACGGGAGGAGGAGGGCCGAGGCAATTAAGGACGGGGGGAGCGGGGGCAGGCCGAGGAGGAAAGGGGAGCGGGCCTCGTGCAGGTGCTCGCTGCCCGGGCGGCCCGCGCCGCCTTGGAAGGTGGAGGCTGCTCGACGCTCGAGGCGGCTCCCTGCGTTTCTGCCGGGCCCCCCGCGGCGCTCGGGCCCCCGGGGCGCTCTCCGCGCGCTGCGCCTCGGCGAGGGCGCTCCGGGCGGGCTGCCCCGACCGTCGCGAGCGGCCGCCGGAGGCCCAGGGTTGTGACCCGGCGGCCAGGCGGCGAGGTCTCGCCCAGGCCAGGCGAAGGGGGGGATCGGGAAAGGCCGAACAGGGGATCGACGAGTGATCGTTTTTTCCTTCCCTGTTTTGCCGAGCGGCGCGGGTCCTCGCCCCCCCTTTCCTCCCCCCCCCCCATGGAGTGGATCTTGGCTGCTTTCGGCGCTTGTTTCGAGCAGGCAGAGTCTCCCTTCGTAGGACGCGCTGTCGCAAACAGTCGCACTAAGCAGAGGTCCGGAGCCATCCCCCCCCTCACCCTCCCTCCCGCCCAATGTCGAAACGCCGAATAAGAAGACGCTCACCTACTGAGTTGATTTCCCCAAGGTTGAATTTCTCGTCGAATCTACCAGGAGAGACGTTGAATGTCCGTAGATCTACGAGCATGCTACACATTTGTTGTATGGTATACGGGGAACCCATGTTGGGGTAAGGCCATTCTGTAGTTCATCCCCTATTCCGACAGGTTTCTCGATGCCAGAAATTCTTCTTGGATCCAGGAAACATGCTGCACATGTGTTGTATAGTACACGGGGGGATAAATTTTGGGGTAAGTCCATCGTGTAGCCCATCCCCTATTCCAAAAATGGGGAGGTGGAGGTGCGAAACGTCTGCTGCCTGCGGGGTCTGTTTCGCCTCCGCCCCCGGGCGCGCTCCTCGACCACGGTGGCGCCTCCCGCGCGCGGGGGGGGGAATGCAGCTACGGTGGCGGCTCTGGTTACAGTCGGGCCGACCATCTGAGAAGTCTTCGAGGCCCTCCCCGAAGGCGCAGAAAACCGCTCAGAAGGCGCGAGGGCTGCTGAGAAGTCCCGCCGCCTTCGGAGAAGGCCTTCCCCTTCTCACTTACCTCCCTCGCTCGCTGCCGAGAGGAGGAAGAACGAGACGGGTCGACGGTCGGACCGGGTATGAGATCGAGGTCGGCTCGGGGAGGGTGCCCTTGGATGTTCTTCGTGCTTGTTTGGTGCCCTTGTGCAGGGGTCCTGTGTGGCGGTTCCCCCCCCTCCACCCCTAATTAGCTGCACGCGCCTGAGCTGGGCACGGCGCCGCCGAGGCGTTTGACCGCTCGCTCTGCGCGCGCGTCGTAAACAAAAAGCCTGGGGGAGAGTACCCTCGGATGTTCTGTTCGCTTTGGCCGGTGGAGGGTCTCGTGTACTGGAAGGGTGTTTTTCTATCCTGGGTCCGACGGTACTCCGGATTCCACCATAAGAGGAGGGTGGTCTGATCTGGGGGGGTCTGACTGGAGCTGTCTTGGAGCGCTTCAGGGGTGTCTGGGCAAACGGGCGCCTTTTCGTTGCCTGTCTGGGGGTGGGCGGGTGTCTAAACTTGTTTGTTTTGTGAGGGTTGTGGCCCCCTCCCTGTCATGACGAAATCTGGAGAAAGGATGTGTTCAGGAGGCTCCAAACCCTGGAGGATTCTTGATCTGAGAACGGCGGCGGTGATGTCCGCGGCCGAGCCCCAATGAAGTTCCACCAGCTTCCAGGCTTGGCATTCCTTATCCAGGCCGAGCGTGCGCGGCCGTGTTGCATTGAATTCACCTCACGGGTTTCGGCCCTCGAAGAGAGAAGTGCCCTCACCGTGCGTGAGTTGATTCCTTGAACCCCCCCTCGTCGACCCACGATATGTGGACGTATCCACCGCCCATGGCCGAGGATATCTTCGGCCACACGCAGATGCGGGGAGAGGGGGGGGAAGGCTTCTTAAAAACACCCCTGCTTAGAAGGCGTGGGCCTTGTCTGTAGATGTAGGGCCAGAGCGTTCTAAGAAGCAACCTACTTCTAAGAAGCCTTCCCCCTCCCCCACCCCCTAGTGCGCGCCGTCAACATCCTGGGCCCAGAAGCGGTTTACGTGCTTCCCTGCCCGCGCCGGGAGGGCGTATTTCTGCACCGCTACTGTCAACGGGGGAACAACGACCCCGACCCCGATAACTGGCGTTCGCTAAACGGCCTTGGGCGTTTACTAAGCAGCTCTGGCCTGTTCGATGTGTTCCTTGGGTGCGTTTACTAAACAGCTTTGCGTGTCGGGGCGATTATTGTGAGGGGGGATGCTCTGTTCTCTATCCTGGGCCCAGGATGGGCCTGGCCAGGGGCGGCGGATATGTGTGGGGTGGCGGGGAAGCCAGCTGCGGGAGCTAATCCTGGCTTCGGATCCGCCGCACTCTGGCTGGTGTTCCGACCTTGAACGTTGTGCCGGGAATGCGCCCCAAACGATGCGAAAGGGTCTGGCGGAAATCTCTGCCTCAGAAGGGTAGGGCGGGTATGTCGGCACGGGTATGGCGGAAACAGCGACGGCAGAGTAGGGCGGAAAGTGGCATCAAAGGAGCTTGACAAGTAGGGCGGGAACTGCCGCCCTGCTTTCGAAATCGCCCCGGGCGGATCCGAAGTCATGGGGGTCCCAGACACAGCCTGGAGGCCGTCACAGAGGCTCCAGAGCTACATGTGCAGGCGGTGCCGAAGCGGGAGCCGCAGAGACGAGCGTGGAGGTGCCGACGGTGCTGCAGGTCGTCGTCGTCGTCGCCGTCGTCGTCGTTGTCGCCGTCGTCGTCGTCGTCGTCGTCGTCGTCGTCGTCGTCGACGTCATCTGTCGTCATCGTCGTCCGTCGTCGTCCGTCGTCGTCGTCGCCGCCGCCACCGTCGTCGTCGTCGTCGCCGCCGCCACCGTCGTCGTCGTCGTCGTCGTCGTCGTCGTCGTCGTCGTCGTCGTCGTCGTCGTCGTCGTCATCTGTCGTCGTTGTCGTCGTCGTCGTCGTCGTCGTCGTCGTCGTCGTCGTCGTCGTCATCGGTGTCGTCGGTCGCCAGTTAGCGCCGAAGAGACGAGCGTATTGCTGCCGACGGTGCTGCAGGTGGGGGCAGCCCGTGCAGCTGCCGCAGGTCTTCCGGGCCATGCGGCGTCTTGTTTTTTTGCGCCACGGGGCCCCCGGAAGTCCCGACCCTAGATCTTCCTCCCCCTCCTTCTCGATCCTCCTCGATCCTCCTCCATCCTCCTCGACCCTCCTCCTCGAGCCCCTCGTCCTCGGAACCTCAAGCGATACGCCAGCCCTCAGGAGCTGTGAACCAAGTCCGCGAGGAGCCCCGCAGCGGGGGCCAGCCTTGCACATCCCGAGTCTTCTTGTTGACGGTCCCTGGGGCCAGACGAGACGCCTCCGGAGGCACGTCTGGGCCCCTGAGCTCCCATATGTCCTCCTCGTCCCCCCTTCTGCTCCTCCTCCTCCTCCTCCCCCTCCTCCTCCTCCCTCCTCCTCCTCTTCCTTCTCCACCTCCACCTCCTCCTCCTCCTCCTCCTCCGCCTCCTCCTCCTCCTCCTCCTCCGCCTCCTCCTCCTCCTCCTCCTCCTCCTCCTCCTCCTCCTCCTCCTCCTCCTCCCCCAGGCTCGGTCTTTCGGTGGCCCCTTCGGCGGCCTCCTCGGACAGGGCGCCGGTAGCCCGGAAAGCGGCGCAGAGGGAGGCGTCGTCGTCGTCGCCGTCGTCGTCGTCGTCGTCGCCGCCGCCGTCGCCGCCGTCGCCACCGTCATCGTCGTCGGTGGTCGTCGTCGTCGACGTCGTTGTCGACGTCGTCGTCGTCGTCTTCGTCGTCGTCGTCGACGTTCGTCGCCGTTCGTCGCCGTCGTCGTCGTTGTCGACGAGGACGCCGAACGACGACCCCCGACGTCGTTATGATGTGTCTGGGCGTCCCTGGAGGCCTTTGGAGGTCCTTGGAGGTCTCCAGATCCAACATGCTTGAATATGTTCAGAACACCATCCTACGTCCTCGACCCTCGAACTTGAGATCCTCGACGGCGACCACGACGACGACGACCACTACGACGACCACTACCAGGATGACTACGACTACGACGGCTTTGACAATGACGGCGACGTCGACAACGGCGACCGACTTCGTCCGGAGGTCTCCAAAGGCCTTAGGCAGGCTGAAAGCGTCCTCGAGTGTCGATGCTCAACGGCGACCGCGACGGCGACGTCGATGGTCGCCTGCCAGGCGGCTACGGTCAATCGCACTCCTCCGCGGAGGGGAAACAGCGGAAGTTGGACCGATGAGGATTGCCCAGACCGTCGTCGTGCCGTCATGGTTGTTCTCTTCGCTGTCGTCGCGGTGTTGGTGATCGTGATTGTCGTCGTCGTCGTCGTCGTCGTCGTCGTCGGCGTCGCCGCCGCCGCCGCCGTCGTGGGCGTCGTCGTCGCTGTGGTCGTGGTGGTGGACGTGTCTGCGGTCTTTGTTGAGGTCGTCGTCATCGTGATCGTCGTCTTTGTCGTCGGCGTCTTGGTCGGCGTCGTCGTCGTCGTCGTCGAAATTCTCGTCGAGGACGGGAGGGACAGGAAGGGAAGGGACACAAAGGAGGAGGGGAGGAGAAGGAGGAGAGGGGGAGGACAAGGGCGGGGGAGGAGGCGGAGGAGGTGACTTGATATTTCTGCGATCCCGTGGGTGTCTCCGTGTCCAGCTGGGTGCCTCTGCGCCCACGATTGCCTGCAATTCCCCCCGGCTCTTCCCCCCCAGCTCCCGCGCCCCCGGCTGCGCGCTGCATCGCGGACGCGCTGGCTTCGACGAAAAACGAAATTGCACAAACATGGAATTTCGGAGGTCTGCGCGGGTGTCTTGGGTCACGGTGTACGTGTGCGCTTCGAGTGAGAATCGGGAAAGAATTACCCTGGCGAAGTACCCAACCCCTGCGCAATGCGGGGCAGGAGTACCTTGGGAGATTTGACGAGAAGGCGGCGACGTGACATGGACGCATATGTTTCTGCGAGCGGCATTCGGAAGGTTCGTAGGCCCCCAATCAAGGGAGACACGATGAGTAACAAAGTGAACCCCTGAGTCATTAAGGAAGACGCAAGGTCCAAAAGGAGTCGGTGGGCAAGAGGCTTGAAACGTCGGCGGGGCAGCAACAACATGACATGTCCCCCCAATTATGGCGAGGCCCTGCTCAGGTCTGCGCAATGCCTCACTCCGCTGGACCCACCAGCAGCCTTCGAAAGTGGCGAGCCCACCAGCAGCCCTCGAAAGCGGCGACAGTTTCGCAGATCGCAGCCCTCCAGGGACGAGGAGGTCCCGCTCAGGTCCGTCCGCGCGGTGTCTTGCTCCGCTGAACCCACCAGCAGCCTTTGAAAATGGCGACGGTTTCGCAGATCGCAGCCCCCCAGGGACGGGGAGGTCCGCTCAGGTCCGCGCGGTGTCTCGCTCCGCTGGACCCACCAGCAGCCCTCGAAAGTGGCGACGGTTTCGCACATCGCAGCCCCCCAGGGACGGGGAGGTCCCGGTCAGGTCCGCGCGGTGCCTCGCTCCGCTGGACCCACCAACAGCCCTCGAAAGTGGCGACAGTTTTGCAGATCGCAGCCCCCCAGGGACGGGGAGGTCCCGTTCAGGTCCGCGCGGTGCCTCACTCCGCTGTACTCACCAGCAGCCTTCGAAAGTGGCGACAGTTCCGCAGATCGCAGCCCTCCCAGGGACGGGGAGGTCCCGCTCAGGTCTGCGCGGTGCCTCACTCCGCTGGACCCAGCATCTGCCCTCGAAAGTGGCGACGGTTTCGCACATCGCAGCCCCCAAAGGACGGGGAAGTCCCGCGCAGGTCAGCGCGATGCCTCACTCAGCTGGACACACCAGCAGCCTTCGAAAGTGACGACAGGTTCGCAGATCGCAGCCCCCCAGGGACGGGGAGGTCCCGCTCAGGTCTGCGCGGTGCCTCACTCCGCTGGACCCACCAGCAGCTTTCGAAAGTGACGACAGTTTTGCAGATCGCAGCCCCCCAAGGACGGGGAGGTTCTGCTCGGGTCCGCGCGGTGCCTCACTCCGCTGGACCCACTAGCAGCCCTCGAAAGTGGCGACGGTTTCGCAGATCGCAGCCCCCCAGGGACGGGGAGGTCCTGGTCAAGTCCGCGCGGTGCCTCGCTCCGCTGGACCCACCAGCAGCCCTCGAAAGTGGCGACGGTTTCGCAGATCGCAGCCCCCCAGGGACGGGGAGGTCCCGCTCAGGTCCGCGATGTGCCCCGCTCCGCTGGACCACCATTTGCCCTCGAAAGTGGCGACGGTTTCGCAGATCGCAGCCCCCCAGGGACGGGGAGGTCCTGGTCAAGTCCGCGCGGTGCCTCCCTCCGCTGGACCCACTAGCAGCCCTCGAAAGTGGCGACAGTTTTGCAGATCGCAGCCCCCCAGGGACGGGGAGGTCCCGCTCAGGTCCGCGCGGTACCCCGCTCCGCTGGACCACCATCTGCCCTCGAAAGTTGCGACGGTTTCGCAGATCGCAGCCCCCCAGGGACGGGGAGGTCCTGGTCAAGTCCGCGCGGTGCCTCGCTCCGCTGGACCCACTAGCAGCCCTCGAAAGTGGCGACGGTTTCGCAGATCGCAGCCCCCCAGGCAAGGCAAGAGGAGACAAGAAGGAGGGGGGGCAGGAGGCGGGAGGCAGGAGGCGGGAGGCGTAAGGAAGGACGCGAGAGCAGCTTTCTGTTCAAAGTGAATACCCACCCAAGGAGGGTTGGGACAACTAACTCGTAAACATAAACTTTTGGCGCTCCGCGCGGGTTTGTTGGATCCGCGCTGGGCCCCCCCTGGCGGCGCCTCCGGCGCCGCCCCTTGCGCGCTCCGTGCGCTGGGGAGGGGGGTCCAGCGCAGATCCAAGAAATCCGCGCGGAGCGCCAAAAGTTTATGTTTATGCCGTTTTTTCCTTCCGTTCGAAAAAAAGCACACTTGCACCAACATAGGACTCTGGAGGTCCGCGCGGAGCTCATGGGGTCGACGCCGGATGCCCCTGGCGGCGCCTCCGTTCTCGCTGCGCGCTGCACTGCGAGGCGTCGTGCGAGTGCGCTTCGAGTAGGGCGGCACCAAACTGCATGCAGTCGAGCGTCTGAGTCAGAAACCTCTCCCCGAAGAGCTGGGCCAGCGTTTCTTGACCAACTTGCCGCAGAGCTGGGCCGTTTTGTTGGCGCGTCTGCGCCCCTCCAGAGTCAATGACAGAAGTTGGCCCAGGCTGAAGTCGGGCACGTCCCTCTACAGGAGGCATCTTTCAAAAATAGTTAAAACATAGTTTTTCGTCCAAAATCCGCCTGTAGGGGGACATGCCCTACCTAAGCCCAGGCTTATGCTACGAAGCTTCCTGGAAGCCAGCCCAGATTTCTTAATGGGATTTTTCCCCAAGCAGTGCTTGCGCTGACGGGGTACTAGCGGATATTGAAAGATTTGGCGACAGTCCCGGGCCGATTTCGGTAACTGGCTGGGTTCCCGGGTTCCCGATTCCCGGGTTCCCGGGTTCCGGGTTGCTGGCTCTGGGCCGATTTCGGGATCCCACGATCGAGTCAACCATCGATCTCATGATCGACCTCACAATCCGAATGAGGGGCCACGATCGCATGATCGATCGGCCAGATATGGTACCTGCCAACTTTTTCATTCCATCCACTGATTGGGGTTTTCTCTTGTGTAATCTTGATCCTGCTCCCAGAGATCCAACGTCTTGAACCAAAACAAGACGGAGGGTGTTCTCAAATTTCGGCCCCGGGGTGCCCTCGCCGGGCCTCGGGACCGTCCAAAAACGAGTCAGGAGGAAGCACCGGTCCTGGGAAACGGGTCGAGGCTACGGGGGGCCGCGCACGGAAAAACCCACGACGACATCGCGTCTCTGGGCTTCTGGCTGCACGCGCACACCGAATCTCGGAGGTCGGCGCAGAGCTCTGCTAGGCCGGCGCCAGAGGCCCCTGGCGGCGCCTCTGGGGCGCCGGCCCGCGCTCCGGGAGCGCCCAGGGAAGGGGGCGGGGAGCAGCGCCGATCCAAGAGGTCCGCGCGGAGCTCTGGGGGTTCACGTCCGTGCCGTCTTGTTCCTCCAATCGAGGGCGCAACCGCGAGGCACCATCGCCGCGCGCGACGCCGAGCATCCTGTCTGTGAGGGGTGCGGTTCATATTTTGCACAGGTAGTCGTCTGTGCTGCTTCACAGTCTTCGGTTCCGTCCCCATTAACGGGGCGTGCGGCTCTTCGAGTCGCCCGGCCAGACTTGCCTTGCCTTGGTGTCTGGGTGTCACGGCGCGTCGCGTTTTTTTTGTGCCTCGCTGTGCCGTTTTGTCTGGGCGTCACGTTGATCTTGTTGTCTGGGTGTCACGTCGCGCTGTTGTCTGGGGGTTTCTGTCTGTGCCTCTCTGTGCCGTTTTTTTCTTTCTCTGCCTGCACCGTCCTCGCGACCGGGGTGCGGGAGCAAACTTCAAAAATCAGGAGGGGGAAAAACATACAGACACAATGAAGCGTCGAACCCTAGGAAAATATGGGAAAATATGGGAAGTGGGGGGGGGAGACAACAAACCCAGAAAATATGGGAAAATATGGGGAATCTGGTTATTTGTATCTATTTGTTTGTGTGTCCCAGGGCCCCTGCAAAATTGGGGCGCGGGGAGGGGTCACAAAAGTCAGCTTTTAATGGTGCAGGATGTTGTCCGTCAGCCGCAAGTGGGGCGCTCCAGAAATCGACCAAAAAACAAACGACACCACCCCACCCACGGCCCTCCATGTTGCGCTACGGCCCATCGGGGGCCGTAGCACATACCACGCAAGAGCCCACGCCAGGTTTCCTGGTATACGCTAAGCTTCCTGGGGTCGTACAGTCAAGACGCTGAAAGAAGGAACAGCTTGGGTTCGGAAGGGGCTGGATGTTCCTCAGGACCTACCATGGCTGTTCCTCCTCCTCGTGAACGAAGGCGGCCTTGGGGGCCTCAACGGGGCTTCGTTCCTCATTTAGCGTTCCTTGTGTCAGCAGCCCGACTGTAGGTGGGGTGGTGTCGTTTGTTTTCTGGTCCAGCAAAGGCCTTCGCCTCCGGCGCACCTCGCCTTCGTTGGAGCAGGAGGAGGAGGAGGAGGAGGAGGAGGAGGAGGAGGAGGAGGAGGAGGAGGAGGAGGAGGAGGAGGAGGGAGGACGAAGGAGAGGAGGAGGAGGAGGAGGGAGGGAGGAGGAGAGGAGGAGGAGGCGGAGGCGGAGGAGGCGGAGGCGGAGGCGGAGGAGGAGGAGGAGGGAGGCGGAGGAGGCGGAGGCGGGAGGCGGGGAGGCGGAGGAGGACGAGGAGGCGAG